TCACCTGAATCACAAAACCTTTCTGGTTTTACAACATTTCCAAATGATCAAATGAGTAGAAAGAATGGTTTCCCATCCTATCTCTTCCTTGAACATACACCTGGACAATATTTGGGAAGAATGAAAGTGTGAAACTTTCATATCGTACCCTTTAACCTTGCTATGGTAGGCTCTGATCTCACATTTCTTTGACCACATCTTTCTCTAGACTCTATTGTCATATAGTACCTCACAGAAAAATGTGGGTATTTGCAATTTCAAATGTGAATAACTTTGTCTGACATCCAAGTGGCAACAAGCTTTCTCTCATCTATATACATATATATTAGAGGCCCGGTGCACGAAATTTGTGTGGGGGCGTTGGGGGGTGGGTCTGGGTCCCTCAGCCCAGCCTGCACCTCTTGCAATCCAGGATCTTTCAGGGAATGTCTGACTGCTAGTGTAGGCCTGATCCCATAGGAATCCTTGCAGATTGGGCCTAAACCAGCACTAGGACATCCTCTCACAGTAAAGGACTGTGGCTCCTAACTGCTTGCTTGCCTGCCTGATCACCCCTAACCACTTACCTGTCTGCCTGATCACCCCTAACCGCCTAAGTCAGACATCCTCTGAGGGGTCCCAGATTGTGAGAGGGTGCAGGTGGGCTGAGGAACCTCCCTAACCCCATGCACAAATTTTATGAACTGGGCCTCTAGGATAGGATAAAAGCCAAGTGACCAGAATGACCAGAAACTATGACATGCACTCCAGCTGACCAACCAGCCTGATTGGGTGCAGAGTCAGCCAGCCAACCTCACACAGCCCCTCCCCCAGGTGGTTTAGCTCCCAATTAGCACCGCCCCTCCACCCCAGTCAGAGGCAGAGCCAGCCAGCCAACCTCCCAGCCAGACCCCACTGATGCACAAATTCGTGCACCTAGTACATAAAATAAAAGAATATAATATTTCCTCTAAAACATGATTTTTTTTTCAGTACAAACTCCACAGACAAATATATTGGGTAACTAGATTTTGGGAATAAAAGCATCATTGTTATATTTTTGTTGAATGAATTATTGGGTGTATCTAATAGAAGGAAACGTGATGTCATGATGAAAATATAAACCACTATATATGCCTGCTTTCTAGTTCAAGTCTCAAAGGTAAGCCTGATTTGCTTGTGACTCAGAGGAAATGCCAGATATTGCATAGGGTATCTGATGGTTCTATTCATGCTCTTTACTCTGAGCACAAGGAGTCTCTCTCTTTTTCCTGTCGGGTTCCCATACTGCTATCAAAACTCAGTTTCAGAAGACTGCCTCTTGGAGAGTTTTTATGATTAATCAGACTTGAATCTTCATCTTGCTTTTTCTAGTGCATTTCCTGTGAGTGATAGCAATTGACATGAGGGGAGCATTTGGAAAACTTTATCTAAATTTATTGAAACTCTCCTGCTCCTTCCTTCAGTTGTTATTTCCTGGGATATCCCACTCTCCATGTCCCTCTTTCCTGGCCTAGTCTTTCCCTGGGACTAAGATTTATTACTCACACTCTCCAATTCTTCTCTACCACGACCTTCTACTGTTAAATATCTGTTAACCCAATTTCTCAAGATACGTTGATAACTGACTCAAAATCTTAGAACTTATCTCAAGAAATAGCTGATGCAAGGATACTGATCTGACCACATGAGGCCTTATTTCTGGAAAGTGCTCTGACACTAGCCAGTGTTGTGAATTTGGCCTACTCAATCCCTCTGAGTCTACTTTCTCATGTATAAAGTGTGAGGGTTGGTCTAGGTTAGTGTTTCTTTTCTTTTAAAAAATATTTTTATTGATTTCAGAGAGTAAAAGAGAAACAGAAACATCACGGATGAGAGAGAATCATTGATTGGCTGCCTCCTGCAGGTTGGACCGAGCCCACAACCCAGGCATGTACACTTGACCAGATGGAACCTGGGACCCTTTGGTCCACAGGCTGATGCCCTATTTACTGAGCCAAACTGGCCAGGGCTAGGTTAAGGTTTCTGTAAGTAAGTGCTGTAACACTGGTCCAAGAATATATATATATTCTGAGGTCACATTTGTTTGGAAATCTCTGTGTACTTTGCCACCTTCTTATCTATTGGCAAGTTAACATCTTGACAAGTCTTGAATTAAGAAACTATTTTTCTTTACTTGATAACTTACTTTTTTTTTTTTTATGGGGGAGGACTAACATGTTGGTAGTTCCATATAACTCTATGAAGGAATCCCTAGTGGAACTTTCTGGGAATCTTGGCTGCAATTATATATTACTTCATCTCCAATGTCAGCTGCTGTCAGTATAGAGATAAGTAGGTCAGGATTTTGGTCTTTCAGGCATAAAAGATCACATAGGACAGAGATAAAAATCTGTATTACAAGGGATGGCAATTTTAGACTAAAGGTGTTTTTTTTTGTTGTTGTTTTTTTGTTTTTGTTTTCAATTTATAATGGGCATAAGTATTGAGAAGCAAGGTTTTCCCAGAGTAGGTAAGGAAGTGTCACAGGTGAAGTGCCATTTGAACTGAGCACTGAGGAGTGTCCGTAATAACTCACCAGGTGGATAAAGTGGGAAAGGATATTCCAGGCAGCTGGAATGACATGGCACAGAGGGATAAAATACCAGCGTATGTTCTAGTCCTGGGAAACACGCTTGTCGTTCTGGAGCCTAGGAGTGAAGGCTGCCTGGGGAGTAAGGAGCAGGACGAAGGTCTGGAAGGTGGTAGGGGTCTGCCTACCATGTGCTTTCACTGTCCATTCTGAGCCTGTAATTTACCCAGTGGGTAACCGGAAAGCATCCTTAGCTTGGTTCCTAAAAGGGAAATTAGATGATCAATAAGTATTTGACAAAGACAATTATGGAAAGCAAAGGAGAACATTCTAGAGTACTGAGAGAATATTCTAGAGTGCTAGGCAAATATGGGGGAAGAGGAGAGAAGTAGGGAAACTAATTATTATACTATTGAAGTGGTTCACATAAGAGATGACAAAAGACTGAATAATGGCAGTGGTGAATGAATGAAGTGGAGGAAACAGATTTGAAGAAAATTTAGAAGCTCAACAGATTGTGTGATAGGACATGAGACAAGAAAGAAGACGAAATGCAAAAATGATTCTATGGTGTTTAGCTTGGGCAAATGTGTCTTCTCAAACTTCCTGGGACAGGAATTTAGGGGAGTGAACTGTTTCATATAGATTTTCAATTGGACTGGGGAATCTATTACATTGAGTACTTTTCCTGAAAAACACATCCATTGGTTTTTGTGTTTCAGAGTCCAATTATGATTTAAACTAAAGACTATAATTTTTTAAAGGAAATTCAGCATCTATAAAAATAAATCTATTCCAAACTGAAATTTGGTAAACACTCAATTACATGCTTGTCAACAAAATAGTATTTTAACCTATATGTTTCCTTGATAAATAAAAACCAAATCCATTTGGATTTTCATTCAGTTAAAAACTCTTTCTTCTTTTAGCCATGGATAATCCTAAATGTACTGATATCTCAATAGCTGAAATTTCAAAATAATTTCCATTTTCTAGAAGGAAACAGCAGAGAACACCAATACTTTTAGTGATTTCAATGTTAAGCAATACTTTCAAAAATTAGTTCTACATTTGGCCTTGACACTAAATGTTATTGCTACTAATACATGAAAAACATATTATGTTTATAATCAAGTACTGGGATTATTTCAAAATCATCTTTGTATGCCAGTAAAAGTTAGAAAAATATTCTTTTAACTATTCACATTTTTTTTTTAGAAGTTCATGATTGCTTATTGTATAGAACATAACAAAGATTTTAAAGAATTATTTTTTTTCTAAAAAACCTTTTGAAGTACAGGGTCCTTTTATTTCGGGGGTGGGGGAGGCAGGGAACCCTTCTTTGTAGAGGCAGGATGTGGAGACTAGCATGACCCAAATTGTTTACACAAAAGCAGTCCACACCTCCCTAATTAGGTCAGAAAATCTTGCCTTTACCTGCAACAGCTGCCTTCTATTAGTACTGGAAACAAACTCTGCAATCTATGGTCATTGAACTATGACCACCTTCTCTTTTTGAAAAAAAATTTTTTTTTTCTTTCTGTCCAAGAAACCCGGAATCCAGAAATTGAATTGGTGGTGAGGAGTTTCGATAGACATAACTTATCAGGGTTCACCTTCTAAACAAACTGACTTATCAGAAAGGCAACACATTATAAAATGAATGCAATAAGGGGAATCAGAGAGTGACTCCTGAGAATCCCCCCCCCCCTTTTACATCATAAAGAAATAAAGATAAAAATGGAATGTTCTTATGTTGCATTTGAAGAAGCTCCATGACATTGTTTTGAAATACATTTAGAAACTTTAGAAAGCAGGTTCAAGTAATGGTTGTTACCACTATTCTGGGATTAAGGATAAAAGGCTTCTATGTCAGTTTGGGCAGGTTTCTAAATGCATTTTATTTCATCTGAAAGAAATTTGCATTCTTGAGGAAAATGCAATGCAAAAATGAGTTGAGACACAATGTCACTTTATCTCAAAGCAAAGCAACCTTATTTCCTTCGGTGTAGTTGAAATAGAGGGCAGGCAAGTCAGGCTGTGATTTCTGAAATCCAACCACCTACCGTAGTATTGTAGTATCGCTGTGCCATCCTCTCTGGGGTTTAGTGCCACTCCTTTAACTTGATATCTGTTTACTTTAGAGGAGGCAGTTTTTGAAAAAAGGATCATAAATATCCTGGCCTGGTGCCCCAGAGCCATGACAAGCAAAAGAACACACTTGCCTAGAGATAGCCCTTGAGATATTTAAATGCGTGGGTTAATTTTTTATCCACTTTAATAACTAGATTACACCCCCCCCCCCCCCACTTCTTTGCTTTCTATTTCTGCTCTGAAGCCTCCGGTGGCACAGAAATATCTGCAGGCAAATTACTCCAGAGCACATTGCCGGACAACCCTATAAGGAACAGCTAACCTCTCAGCATCTGATTCCTGATCCTTTTCCGACATGGCAGGTGTGAATAGCTGTATAAAATATTCTTTTTTTGTCTTCAACTTCTTTTTCTGGGTAAGTGTTTTTTCTTTTAATTATCAATTTTATGCAACAAAGGGGATCTTGATATAAATATCATAAAGGAGAACAGGCTCTGTACTAGAGAAATAAGAGGAGGAGAAAAATGTATTTCCATTTACTTGTTTGGATTTGTTTGTTCTTTCATTGAAAAGGAGCCAATGTCTCAAGAAAGAGCTCCTCAGGATCTGTGAGGATAAACATTTTGCAACTATTTTGATATTGTTGCAAAAACAATCACAGGGGGAAAAAATACCCCTTCATTAAAGGATAGTTATTCTTAGTTGTAAATCATGCAGGCCTCCCTGTGTTGGGACCGTGTGGGAAAATTCTGATCTGATTTCACCTGGATGGAGCCCAAGCCCCCGAATCATAACCTTTACATCTGGGATTGAAGCAGGTGGATGGTGGATGTCAGCGAAGATAAAGGCCTGAGAAAAGGATTGTTTTCAGAAACCCACAAAAGAAACAATGGGTCGTAAAGAACTTGAGAAGGAAACAATAAAAGTATTTAATCGTGAAAAGGTGAAACTAAGCCACTCGGGTTTGCATCAGCAATTGAAAGTTAGGATTTTGATGTGTCATCACCCCACCTTTTAATCAACAGGTTTAGTATTTTAGCAAGTTCTCTTGTTTCCCTTAAAGGTCTATTGACATAAGACATAGCAAATACATTGGTAAGTGGAATCTAACACTGGAAAATGGAAAAATTAAGATATGGAAAGGCAATAAAGTAAAGGGCAGGCAGGGAGGTAGGAAAACTGACATTATTTTTCGTATATATGGTGCAATTTTAGATTGTTCCAAGGAAATAATCATTTTGTATACTGATTTAAAAACTGGCTAATGCAGTATAAGCAGAGGAGAGTTGTGGTTTTGTTTTTTACCTGGTTACCTCCAGTAAACAGGCAGCTGGTATCTAAATGTTGGTAAATTTCTGTTCTATTACACTAATGGTATACTTAATTAAACAATAACTATAAGAATACAGTCTTATTGTACAGACTGACTTTCCATTCAACGTCCAGTAGCCATAATGAGTACAGATGATACGCAGAAGTTAGAGAGCATATAAATAGATAAAATAAAAAAAGGTTTGTTCTTTGTACTTTCTCTTTTCTCTAAAAAAATGGGCCGTGTTTGTAACTGGTAAATGAAGCACACGAATATATGCTGTTTTTTTAAGTTAGTCCTGATAAATTTCTTTCCTTGGATATTTAAAATTGATTAAACATCGAGAGTAGAATGTAAACAAGGAAATGGCTGGTTTTGTTTTTAGCTTTTATTACGGAGAACTTTAAACATCCACATAACAGGACAGGGACAATCAACGCCATCATCTCACCCCAATAGCCATGAAACCTTTGTAAATATTTTCCTGTTCATGGTCTCGTCCAACTACCCCAGCCCATATTATTTTGAAGCACATTTCGGATATAGCATTTCATCTGTAAATATTTTAGTGTAAATATATCTCTAAAAGATAATTCTTCTAAAAAATGTAACCGCCATGTCATTATCACACTAAAAACAGTAACAATTTCTTAATTGACTACCAAATACCCATCCAGGGTTCAAATTTCCCGTGGCTTTGTAAATGTCCCTGTTTGAATCAGAATCCAGATAAGGCCCACACACTGATAAAGCTTTTACATCCATTTTCACATTTAGATTATCCCTCCATCTTTAGTTCTTCTCCCCAACCCCCTTGAAATTTATGTACTGGTGTGTGTTGTCTTGTCAGTTTTCACAATCTGGATTTTGCTATTTTGCCACAGTGTATACAGATGAACATGTTTCCCATTCTCTGTATTTGCTCTAATTTAATAGGCACATCAAGCAACTTGAAAAAGTTCAGGTTATTTATTTTCTCATATCTATAATAATAAAAGGGTAATATGCTAATTAGATGGGGAGACTGGCCAGGGAAGGCAGTTGGGGGCCATGAGGCCAACAGGGGAGGGCATTTGGGGGTGAGCAGGCCAGCAGCGGGGAGGGCAGTTGGGGACAAGCAGGCTGGGAGGCAGAGTGGTTAGGGATGACCAGACAGGCAGGCAGGTGTACGGTTAGGAGCCAGAAGCCCCAGATTTTGAGAGGGGTCCCAGATTGGAGACGGTGCAGGCTGGGCTGAGGGACCCAGAGGTGGGTGGCGGCAAAGGGTGTGGCCAGCTGTACTAATTTCATGCACTGGGCCACTAGTATAACTACATTATAAGTGATACTGTGTTCTTTCATCAGGAGGTATATAATGTCTGAACATGTTACTTTTGATGATGCTAATAGCCACAGATACTCAAGAGAACCTAAATCCTTAGTTCTGTAAGAGTTTCAAATGAGTGATATTACATTTCTATTATTTTTCCTTTATTTATTAGCTACAATGTTTTTCATGAAGGGAAATGTATCATTGACTCATTGGTTGCCGGTGGTATCCAGTTTTTATTTTAAAAGGCAGCACAAATGTTTCTTATTTGTTATCCAGCAGATTTCAAAATGATGAGTTAAGTTTTTGGTATCATACAACAGTGATAAGCAAGTGTTTCCTTTAAGTAGCTAATGCAGTAATACTTTTAAAAACCATCAGAGTTCTCATCTTCATTGATGCATAATTTATTCCATCTTTGGCCAGTGGGAGCATCCTTAAAAGTTGTCTCCTGAATTCTTTTTCCATGATCCTTAGAACTTTGATAACTTCTTCACTACCAGGTATGACAAGATATTTTAAGCTCACTTCCCTATTTCCTGCCCCAGCCTGGATTCAGCTATTTTTTCAAGAAGTACTGATACCCATTTTTTTTTTTTTTTTAAAACTATAACCATTGTCTTTTCATGGTACAGAATATGTCTCATTTAAACAAACCAAAATATGAATATGCCAATAAGTGCATGTCTTCTATTTTAATAACATGTCCCAGTAGTAATCCTTATTATGAAATTACTAGAGGCCTAGCACATGAAAATCCATGCGTGGGTACGGTCCGTAAGCCTGGCCATGTGATCAGGGCCATCTTCCCCGGCTTCTGACAGCCACCCACCTCTGGTTCCCCATTCGCCATCAGGCAGTCAGATCGGGCTGGCCAGGAAGAGGGACCAAGAGGTGGGCAGTTCCAGCCCGCTTGCTGGCCCTGTCCCTGCCACGGGTTTCCCTCTGTGTGTGGAGCGACCAGCGGGTGGGGGGCCTTGGCCTGGCACTGTCCACATACCCAGCCACCCACCCCCGGTTCTCCATTTGCCATTGGGTGATGGGTGCCTGCCAGCCGGAGAAAGGGACCAAGAGGTGGTTAGTGTGCCTCATAATGACTGGGCCAGTGATCGTTCTGATCATTCTGCCAATTTGCATATCACCCTAATATCATATAGGATAAAACAGTGGAAATATATCTCTTTTGTAAAAATACAGCATACAAAGTGCAAACAGCAGAGGTCAGTACAAATAGGTAAGCAGGAATTTGGAATAAATCTGAATTTTAAACTACTCTGATAAAGACAGTGTAAGAAATGGGTATGCTATAGGTTCAGCATAATCCATTTAAGAGCAAAGTTCAAGATGAGTTGTGGACATCTCTACCATGCTGTTACTTGACATTACTATTGCTTCCCTGTAGTGCTCTGATTATTGTATGGGTATCATTATTTCTTTGTTTTTCTGATAATGAAGATAAAGTCTGATGCTGTAGATTTCAGTTAGACATTTTTAACTTCTCTGTGCTAAAGGCCTTGTTCTTACCACCAGCACAGTGCTGAGCTCCACAATCTCTATATGAGCATCTTGAAATGGAGGCTTTGGGTGAGAGCAACAGCTATAAAGACCAATGATAACGTCTCAGCCTCCAGGCAACATGCTTTTATTCAAAATCTAGACAGCAGGAGCAGGCTCTGAGGTTAGCGAGCCATTCCTCTTTCTATTCTTCTCTCTACCCACAACCCGGAGTTCTCAGCTGTAATTTTACAGTCCTTCATAGGAAATTAGCAATTTGTCACATTCCTAATGTTTACTTACACAAAATTTCAAGGGCCCCACTGATGTGGTTTTCGTATAGATATCCAGGGCCTTATGTTTTTAAATGCATTCTTTCTGGTGTAACTTGTGAAACTAAGCCTTTGCAAAGTAGGGCCAGATGTTGAAATATCTGTAAGATATGCATATGGTCACTTAAGTTAAACACACTGGCTTCTTTTGTGAGAGAACTTGAGATATGCCACACAAATATGCCGTGATTTCCATTTGTTAGAATTAGTCATTGAAGAAAAACATGTGAAAGTGAGTATCACTTCTAGTCACTCATGCTAGAGGGTGGTGTGAGTTGCAGTATCTTGCAAATGATGTAAATAACAGATAGATTATAGGCAAACAACCTATTTCTCTAGTCTTTTGTCAAAACCGATGAACTGCCCACAATTCTTTTTGATCCCCTCAGATGAGCCTGGCTGGGGGGTATTGTAGATGCTTGCAGTGTCTTAGGAGTCTGGGGGAGCATGGAGCACAGGGCCTTGGGCTCATGGGTACAGAGGAGCCATTGCCGGTGGCAGAGAGCCATGGAGAGGCCAGCTCTGTGTGAAGGAAAGCAGAGTGGAGGAATGTTACCGATGGCAAATGAGGTGAGGTAAGAAGGAGGAGCCAACGTGTAAAGCCAAATAGATCCGCAAGTGAGAGAAGCCCATGCATGCATAAAGCAGTTTGAAGAGAGCAGAAGGAAGCTAGAGTTTGGAGCGTGTCCAGAAACCAGCATTTTGATGTTCATCATTGTGTTTTATGTGGTGCCTGGGTCTCTACATTAGATGTTCTGAGAGCAATTAAAAGAGTTGATGCAGAACAGACATAACTAGGAGATAGGCTGTATTAGAAAATAGGGCACAATTATATTTCATTCTGTCCGCTGATAAATTCCCTCAAGATAAAGATTTGACCATGGCAGAAACGTGTGAGCTTTGTAAATAAAACAGTTGTCTGCCAGTATGCAATCTGTGTGGTACTATAACAGTGACAAAAGGCATCG